TTATAGACCAGGAAACTGAGATGTGGAGAGATCCATTTATTTGCTCAAATTCCATGGTGTGTTATAGGATAGAGACAGACTTTAAGCCAATCTGACTAAAGTCTAAGCATCTCCGAAAATCATCCTGTGACTTCCAAAACTCAACCCTTTGACGTTGCCAGGGCCTTGGGAAACTGACTACTTATCCCTTCCATCCACGGCAGACTGAAAAAGGTTAGTCTCCGGGGCCTTCCATGAGGGCATGCATTGATGCTCAGATCCAGCTTTCCAGTAGAGGGCAGCAGTGTGCAAAGACCCACATCTTGATTCAGGGTAAAACACCTTCCATAGTCTTGCCAAGTGTGGAGTCTGAAGGCTGGAGTTTAGGAGACTGGGGAGAAACCCTAAGAGAGGTTGGGGTTGTGAGTATAGCAGAGGGGGAGAAAACACGGGAACTTGGCCACTCTACGAAGCAGACTTGTCTGCTTCTATGGTTGCATAGGGCTAAGGGTCTCAAAAGGACCAGGTTTGGGAAGAAGGAAGTAGCAAGCTAAAGGTCAGCCCTTGACTGGGGTAGTGCATGTTGTCATCTTTCTGTTCTGGGGTGTGAGAGCCGCTGTGATTCGGTACTGTGTCTCTGTCCTGAGGCCTCTTTAGAACCTGGGCCAGCACAACAAGGATTGGGTCCCATGGTACTCATGCTTTCAATGCTTGTTGGGGGGCCTCTGAGAAAGGCAAGTGAGTCAGGGTCGGAGTGGGGTCAAAGAATCAGAAGCGAAGACACCCCAAACTCTTCTGGAACAACCAATGTTCCTTTGTTCTTGATTTCTAGGATGAAGAAGGAAATCCATAAAAACTGTTTCAGGTAGACACAGAAGGGACAGACAGCTGGAGAGCCTTTCCTGAAAGGGACAGGATTTCATGAGCAGGAGGGGGGGTGGGGTGGGTGAGGTGGGTGGGGTGGGGGTGGTCCTCAATGGAGATAATGCGAAGCCCTCAACAATTGCACACTCAGCTTTAGATGATACTGTTATCAGAAATCTAAAAGGCAAGACGGCAGAGGAGAAAAGAAAGGGAGAAAATCCTCCTTCTGGCTCCCCTGGGAGAGGGCTGAGCATGGGACCCTTTGATCATCCCAAGAATAAACACTACTTCCACTTCTCCCAAGGGGCTCAGCTTCTCCCCAGCCAGCATTCCCCTGATACCTGATATCCTCTTTCCCTTTTCTATCTCCTACCTATGATCTGGGGCTCCTAGGAAGCCCCCATAGATTTGCTGCTTCTCTGGAAGCCTATGGCCACTGCTCTTTGGGGGAGATCTCTGCCCAGGAGAGCAAATCAATCTGTCTAGAGTGTATGGCATTCTGAGTCCTGCCTGAGCTTCAGAACCATCTAGGAGACTCTTTAAGAAATATCCATTCCTGGGCCCTGCCCAAGACTTAGGGGTCAGAATCTTCAGGGGTGGGGCCGAGGAATCTGATTTTCAACAGTCTGTGAGCCTGATATACCTCCATTGCAGGACTGAGTGCCTGTGATGTCATCCTAGCTCCTGTGGTGTGTGACTTCGCATTTTTCTTCTGTTTCCTCAGTACAATTTCCTGTGTAAGAAGTGCCTACTGGAAGCTGTCCAGTGGATGCACAGAGAAGAAGAACTTGGCACTGACAAGGTATTTGCCCCGAGTCCTGCAGTCCTGAAGCAGGACCAGAACACTCAGCAATGCACGTTGGCTAAATGAGGAGGCCCGCAAAGTCCTGCTCATGTGGACACTCAGAAGAGTAGGACCACTGTATCTCAGCAACACTTGCAGCCAATCCTCACCAATTTTTTTCAGTAGTGAGGATTGAATGGAGGGGTACTCTGTATTGAGCTGGGCTACATGCCCAGCCTATTTTATTTTATTTTAATTATTTTGAGACAGGATCTTGCTAACTTGCCTAGGAAGGACTCGAACTTACAATTCTTCCTTGTCGCCGGGAGTGCTGGGATTACAGGTAGGTGCCACTGTGCCAGACTTTATCCTCTCCATTATTTTATTTTATTTTGATGAGTAGAAACAAAGAACAGAAACAAAAACAGAAACAGGGTAACATACAGATTTTCATATCCTCTCCATTTATGTCTCTCTACCCAAAGTGTATAAACACATACACCCTCTAGGTCAGTGCACACGCTGCCCAAATGCTACAGGTCATTGTGAGAAGGAAGGTAGAGAAATCTGAATAGAGGAAATTAGGAAGAATAAAACGGGAATATCTCAAACGATCCTAGGGAAATTTTTTTTTAATGTGTTTGGTACAGGGTCTCACTACATAGCTCAGACTCATAGTGATCCTTCTGTTTTCAGCCTCCCCAGTGTTGGGATTATAGGCATGTGCCACCACACCTGGTCTCAGTGGCCAGCTCAGCGTGCCTGGGGGCGGGGCTGGTTTGGCACGTGGTGCTGGGGATTGAATTCCGGCCCCTGAACTTGCCTAAGCAGGCTCTTAGTCTGCTGAGCTATCTTGCCAACCTTCCCGAGGGAAAGTTTTAATTCAGATAAATGATGCAAAAATGATGTATGTAACTGTATATGTCATTCAGAGCTTGGTGTGGAAAGAAAGGTAAATGGTGCAGTTTGGGTATCATTTTGGTCATAAGAATAAGGAAGTATTTTACCCACTAGTCTCTTCATTAAATCCTGTCAAGCAAGCTTGTTTCAGGTATCCCATCTTATTTTTAAGCCAAACTGTGGTATTAGTTTGGCTACAAAAGTTCAACTATTGGAGGGTCTAGTGAAAACTAAGGCAGTAAATTAAAAATAATTTATTTACTTTTTATTTTTATGTATGTGGTATTAGGTTAGGGTCTTCATGTTGAGCTATATCCCCAGACCTTTTTCATTTTCATTTTTAGTTTTTGAGACAGGATCTCACTGTGTCTTTCAGGCTGGGCTTGAGTTCACTATGTAGCCCTGGCTAGCCTTGAACCCTGGATGATTCTCCTGCCTTGGTCCCCTCATGTGCAGGAATTACACGCATGTGCCCCCACACCCAGTTTATGTTTTATTTTGACACAGGTCTCACTAAATTGCTAAGATGTCCAAGATGGGTTTGAACATGTGATCCTCCTGCCTCCGCTTCCCTGAGTTCTGGGATTATAGGCATACACTAATATGCCCCCCCAACTTTTTTATTTTGTGAATCTTCTGAAGACTTTCCCATTTTCCTTCTGCAAAAACACAGAGTATATTGATTTCCTAGCACTAAAGATAGAGTAAGAACCACACGGACTCATTCAATAAATCTGTGTGCCTCTAATAGGCCTGTCCCTGTTCTGCTTTCAGAGGATGCACCCATCATTGTCTTTAGAAATGATCTGAGTTCCTGTCCTAGCTAGCTAGAGCTGATGGGAGATGAAGAAAAGAAAGAAAAGTGTAGGAGCTGGCTGAGGTACTTTACCCCTATAGTCCCAGTGCTTAAAAGGCTGAGGTAGGAAGACCACCATGAGTTTGAGGCCACCTTGTACTACGTAGTGAGACCCTGACTCAACCAGAACAAATCAAACAAATTGTAGGAACAAAATAAAGAGGTGGTCAACATAGACAGTAGACGTAAGAGGCTTCAAGAGGGACAAAAGGACAATACAAAGTTGAAGAAAGGGTGACCATTGTGGTACCTTTAAGATCTCTCCTAGGTCATCTCAGGAATACTTTTCAGGGTAAGGGTGACAGTTTTGAGAAACAATGACTTGAGTTGAACTGTCATAGTGAAACTCAAAACACACTGAGCACTCATTAGCATTTCAAATTTTCTGAAAGACATCTCCAGCCATAGCCTGCTTGCAACCTTCTCGTGACCGGAAGTGGTCCACTGAGGATGGGTACAAGCCATGTGCAGCATGGGGGTCTCTTGCGCTTGAGGCAACTGATCTACCTCATTGGGTTCAGGCATCTGCCTAAAAAAACCTACTTTGTGTTAGTGTTTTGTTTTGTGTTGTGTTGTGATTTTCAATACTGGAGATGGAATCCAGGGCCTTCACACTGAGCTTGAAGGTCCTTTGAGCACTCTCCGCCCTTTTTTAATTTTTTAGTTCATGAAACAGGGTTTCGCTAAATTGTGTGTGCTAAACTGGAATTTGCAGTTGTGATTCAGCTGCCCAGAGTGCTGGTGTTTTGGGCAAGTACTACTACGACCGGCTCTCCTTAGAGTTTTTAAAATTCAAATACACTGGGACAGTTTCCTACTGGGTCCCATCTCTGTATTTCCACCACAAACCGAGGGGGATCTTGCCTACCACATATATTCCTTGTTTAGAAGGAAGCCTGTCACATCTTTCCCCGTCTTCACCAACACAAAACATCCCCTGCAAGATCCACCACATATTAAGGGATAGGAATGAACACAAAACAAAAAAGTATATGCATATTCATACTTTTCAGATTTGTAAGCATGTCTATATATACTGTCACTTGATGGCTCCAACAACCATTTTTGAATTTTTTTTTTTTTTTTTATTGTAGGGAAGGGTCTACAGGGTGTTCAGGGTCTTATTAATAGATCAGATTCATAGCGATCCACCTGTTTACAGCCTCCCAAGAGCTGGGATTAAAGGCGTGTGCCACCACGACCAGTCTCAATTGCCATCTCAGCGCACCCCAGGGGGCGGGGCTGGCACAGCAGGCCCAGGGATTGAACCCCAGGCCCCTATGCCTGCTTGCAGGTGCTTTAATCCACTGAGCTATTTGGCTGGCCCTCAACAAGCCATTTTATAGATGAGGAAATTGGACTTCATAAAGGTTTACTGATTTGAATCAGCCTGCACAACTGGCAAACTGACTAGGATTCAAATCCATCCCTAATATTTCTCTTGCTTTAAGCTACGTACTTCAAATATTGTTGAAAGAGAAATGAAACAAAAGCAGCCAATAAAATCTACAGGTGCACGAAGGATCACCTATGCCCCACCTTTCAAAAATTAGGTTGACTCACTTTCCATTCATCTTCCCCCTGCCGCCATATTTTCTGACCCAAACCAGAACTTACTTTGTGCAATGGCCATGACTCCGGAGAGTGGGGTCATGATGAGGTTCTGTGATTGCTGGGGATTATGGTGGGAGAGGCTGTGGATATTTGTCAAGGTGCTGACGGGGGGCAGGCCTCCTCCTGAGACTGATATCTGCTGGAGAGGAAAAACAAGAACAGCATGAGTGATTCCAGAATGACCTGATTTGGCAACTCCAGGGCCCAGCTAAATCGCCAATTCATTCATCCCCTCTATAGTTACTAAGCACCTATCATGGGACAGACTGTTCTAGGTGCTGCAGAGAGCAACAGGAAAAACAGACAATACTTCCTACCCAGTGGTGCCTGGCCTTGCTCACTGTCTATGAGCTACCAGCCAGCCTGAGTCATTTTCCTCTTCAGTATATTCCGTGTTTGTCTCCTCCTCCCTTTGCATGTGTCCTCTCTTCTGTTTTCTGCCTTCTAGATTGTGTTGTAGAGACACAAGACTGCTAAAAATAATAACTGAAGAAATGCCGTGGGATTCCCTAGTGAGAGCAGATTAGGAGCCAGGTAGGAGGGCAAGGAAGCCCTCTCTGAGTCCTGCTCACATGTTAACTCACAGACCTTCTTATTACACTGCTGGGAGGTAGGGGCTTCTGTCCTTCCCATTTTCCAGACAAAAACCTGAGGTTTGGAGTAGACACATATCCTGCCTTGAGACTCAGATACCAAAGTTCCTGTAACTGCCTAAGATTTTCACCAAGATCCTATAACTAGCAAATGGTACAACAGGTATTCCAGCCCAGGTGTGTCTGACCTTAAAGCCCAAGTTCTCCTCATCCCATAATTATGCCAAAGGTTGAGAGCGTAAGATGTTATTTGGGTTAATCTACTTTTTCTCAGTCTTCACTGTATATTATAACTTTATCTTTTATGCTAAGCAGCTGACGTTGCAATGACAAAGCTGGTAAACAAGCCTCATTCTGTTTCATCCTTATATTTTAATAAGATTAGTAGGGGAAAGCTACTAATTCTTATGTGTGTATATTGTACATGGCCACTTAAGTGAATCCTTTTATTTATGCTTGAAGTTATAATTTCCTCATTTAAAATTTTTTTCTCATTTAAAATTTTTTCCAAGTTGAGAATAAAATTGCATCAGAAGCATAAAAGGGTTTTTTCTTTGCATAAATCAATATCCTTCAAGTCCAAATGGGTTAGAATTTTTTTGAATAGAATTGAACAAATAACTATAATGGATGTGCTTGTTTCGATCCTAATGTTGTTAGATATGTTTTTAATATATTCTCATTAATAATAAATTGAATGCAACTCCCAGGTTTACACACACAGGCACACACATTTTCTCATAATATGGCAGCTTACTATCTATAGTTTCTAAAAGTACTATTAGGAGAGGACTGAACCCCCATTCTGAACAAACCCAGACAGTGTTGAGAGCATTAAGGGCCTCGAGAGGTGCGTTAGGGTTAGGATTCATTAGGTATCTGAGTCATCCAACTTCCTTTCTTCTGTCCTTTACTACTGAAAGCTGTTTGGGTCATAGGTCTCACACCAGTACCCGGGCAAAACCCTGTCTCCTACCTCCCCTTTCAGTCAACCTCATAATTTCCAAGGTTAATTTAAAAAAAGAAAGAAAGAAAAAAAAATCAAGCAGGTTTGTTTATGTTTTTAAAATGAGTATCAAGAAATGAGTTAGAGGTCACATCACCCAGAAGGAATTCTGACCACACCAAACAAGAGAGAACCAGCCTGTTTGCTAGAACTTGTTTTTCAAAATGTCAGAGTCATAAAACAAAACAAAACAAAACAAAACAAAAAAAAAAAAAAAACCAAAAACTGGTGACCTGCCCTCGGCCTGAATTCCTTTGGTGACACAGTCCTTTGGAGAAAGTCAATGAAATGTTTGTCTCTCTGCCATTTCAATGTTTGGCTTTATTTATTTTTTTAATCTTTTATTTATTTATTTGGGACAGAGTCTCACTTCACAGCTTGGACTCGTAGTGATTCTCCTGTCTCAGCCTTCCCAGCACTGGGATTACAGGCATGCGCCACCATGCTTGGTCTTGGTGGCCGGCTCAGCACGCCAGAGTTCTGGGGCCGACACACATGTGATACCAGGGATTGAACTCGAGTCTTTGCACTTGCCAGGCAGGTACTTAGATCACCAAACTATCTCTCTGGCCCTCAAGGTTTGGCTTTCATGGTCCCACAGAAACGTGGATGCCAGTGATAAAAGTACTTTAAGTAGGTATGGCTTCAGTTTGCACATTGTGAGTTTTTGTTTTTTGTATCTAGTATGGGGTCTATAGGGTCTCCCTACACAGATCGGATGCATAGTGCTTCTCCTGTTTTCATCCCCTCCCAAGCGCTGGGATTACAGGCTGTGCCACCACCCCTAGTCTCAATTGCCATCTCAGTGCGCCCCCCCCCGGGGGGGTCCCCCAGCACTGCATACTGGGGGTCTAACCCCAGCCGGTGCACTCTGCCTAAGCAGGTGCTTTAGTCCGTGGAGCTATCTGGCTGGCCTGCAGATTGCTTTAATTAATTATCCTTAATAGTTAAAGACACAGATGGCACAGGTATTATTGTTTTTCTATTATTGATTAAGACACAGATCCTCAGAAGAGGTGAGACTAGCTCTATGTCCCTCGACTAAAAGGTGAAGAACCCCAAATTCAAACACAGTTTTGCTGGAGTTTAAATCCACCCAGTCAGACAATCCTGGTCAAGTTAATTCCCACTGTAAAAGGCAGCTATTATTTTCCATTTGCCTCAAGGACTAAAGGAAGCCAGGCAGTTGTTTAGGACGTGGTAGTAACCCTAAAATGATAATCTGGAGAACTGAATCACACCATATTGTCATGTACAGTACGTTCAGTAGGCAAATTCTTTCACATGCCTTTAATTTATGAACTTTGTTTTAGTTCACAAGGTAACCACAGACCTTCTCACTACACACCTGGGAGGTAGGGGCTTCTGTCCTTCCCATTTCATAGATGAAAACCTGAGGTTTAGAGTAGATATATGTCCTGCCTTGAGACTCAGATACCTAAGATCCTATAACTGCCTAAGATTTCCGCCTAAGATCCTATCACTAGCCAATATTCACAGGCTACAACCCTAAGCCTCTGGAAGTTTCTTTGCAGGGACCGGGCCATCTTTCTGTCAAGGCATACCATTCACTGCTGTGGGTTGGGGGCCCAAAAGAACAACAGAGAACTTAAATGGATTGGTATTATTTCCAAAACCAATCTCTGGGGGAAGATTTCAAAGCCCGGTCCTAGTGAAGGGAAGCACAAAGAGACTGTCATTCCTAGAATCAGGCTTTCTCCAAACACAGCAAAGCTGTAAGCAATCCTAGGTCTTATGACCTAAGCATTATTATCCCCACTTTGCAGATGACAAAATGGAGGTTAAGCAATTTTCCATCCTCCTGTTGGTAAATGACAGAGCCAAGACTTGGAGACCCAGATCCCCCTGCCTGCATTTCTTTTTAACCATATTTTTCTGTTGCTTTGGTGGAACAAGATCTGTGATGGACCTGTTATATATTAACAGAGAACAGACTCTTGAATTTGGGCATCCCATGTCAGTGACATAACATATGAGCCCGGGGTGTTGGAGGCAAGTGAAAACCCGGTCCCTGCAAACAAACTTCCAGATGTTTGCTAACGGTGAGGTACACTGCCTTGGTCAATCATCAATCTGATAATACAGTGCCCCGGCTGGGCACTGTGGAGCAGAACGGGAAGAAAAATGTGTGTCTGCAGGCTGCTTTTGCAGCAACCCCCGCCTGGGTGAGACAGCCTGCTGCTTACAAGGATGAGCTCAAAGGGAAAGTCCGAGGTCCTTCAGGCAGTAAGACGGGAGACTTTTTTGTTTAGTGCTGGGATACAACCTGGGGTCTCAGGCATGTCAGGCCAGCCCTGTACCTCTGCGCCACACTCCCAGCCCAAGTCCTGGAAGTGGAGTTCTTTTTCATAGGCCTCCTCTTCCAGGAAAGCCTAGGTAATGCTTAACTTTAATTTGTTTGGGTCTTGACACGACTCTTGAGAAATCATAAAGATTTGCCTGTGCCTCTCACAAGGTAGCTGCCACAAATTGTTCTTCAACAAAAATGATCTTTCTTAAGGGATGGGTGGAGGGCAGGAAGGATGCAAAATGCCTCCCCATTGGAGGGCTCTCTCATTTTTGTTTGCAAGGAACTCCACCCTGCAGGCCAGCGCAGGTCCCCTGAAACTAGAGTTGGCTGGATCAGTGTTCCCCTCAGAAACTACACTTTGTTTGTCCTCCAGGGAGCTGGGACCTCGATCCCGTGACACACTAGTCCCGTGTTGCCTACACACACACACACACACACACACACACACACACACATCAAAGCTTAAAATGGCATCTGTTCCCTGCTGCCCTTCCCTAACTCGGGGCCCCCACTGGCCTCCGGGTCAGATACGGTGCAGGAACGCGTACAGCAACACCTCAGCTTGGAAGTCAGGAACCTGCGGCTCCTCCTTCCCCTGAAATGCTGAGCATGACCCAAAGAATAAAGTTTTCCATTTCCTCCCTTTGTTGTGTCGTAATACTTCTGTTGTCTCATAAGCTGCTCTCTGCTGCCCTCGTGTTACTAGAAGATTAGGATCTTCCAAATGCAAATAATTTATTCTTCAGTCAAGTGGGCTAAATTTACCTTTGGGCTATGGGTATAGAAACCCTCATTTCATAAAAATAACATTGCCTTTAACTGACTAACACTGCCGTGTAGTAAACATCTCCTGTGCTGAACAATGTGGGGAGTACTGCACATGTGTTAGCTATCACCGTTTCTCCCCTAACAACCTTATTGCTATTACCTCCAGTTTATAGAGGATTTGAACCACAGGTACCTGGAACTTCAAAGTCGGCCTCCCTCCTCTAAGCACCACCCCACCCACCCGCCATTTTGAGCTGTGGTCTTTCTTGAAAAGGCATCTGTGTCCTTCAGTTCAAAGACCTGCTCCCATCTCTTGCCATTCACTATGTCCTACTTGACTGTCCTTGCCAGTACCAAGGGGGTTGCTAACAAGGGGGCTTGGTGAGTTCTGGGTTAAAAAAAACTGGTTTTGGAGGCCTTGGAGGGGAGGGATGAATGAACATTTTATCAACACAAATGTCACTGCCAGCCCCAAAACAAACAGCGTCCCACCCGGCTTGCTCCTTTATGAGGCATTCAATCAATAAAATGAGAGCAGAACTCTGTCAGATTTATTGGCTGGGTTCAAACCGAACACCTCTTCTACCCGCCAAAGGCTGGGTCACCAGCTCTACCTTTCCGTTCCAACTTTGGTCAGCCCCCATTTTCTCCCGTGGGGTTACAATGGTTCATTGTTTGAGGCAGGCCTTGTGAGAAGTTGTGTTTGTTTTGCCTCTTATCTTATCAGCTCCAGAGCTACAATGGCCCAGGTGTACTCACCATTTTACCATCAGGTGAGAGGAGATTGTGGCCTGGGTCCAGGCTGGCTGGGGAGACTTGCTGTAAAACTGACTGGCTGGTCACCATGGCGCTGTTACCATGGTGACTGATTGTTGAGGAGGAAGTGACTTCATTGTTTCCTTGCTGGCTGTAGCGTACTCCTGAAAAACAACACAAGCCCCAAAGGGAACATTAGTGTCATGGGGGCCCTCGGACACTGATTCAGAGCTTCTTTTTTTCAAGGGTGGATGACAAGAAAGCATAGTTGCCTTCTTCCCAGTTGTCTCTGGGACAAAAGTGCCATGGTTTCTAATTCTAGAATGTAAGCTCCATGAGGGTAAGACATTCTGTCTGATTTGTTCATTACTGTATCTCTAGTGTTGACACTTGGTAGTCACTCAATAAACTTTGATGAAGGGATTATTCTTGTGATTGCTTTGCATAAGTTTCTTAGGATCTATGGGCTGTTATTGGCTTTCTTCTGGGTACAGTATTTATTGCATTCTTCAAATTGCCTTCAAGAAATGCATGGCTGACACTGACAAAGGATCTACAAAGTGCAGGTTTCAGGATAAATCCTGAGGGGATTTGACTGACCTTATCAGATGTAAAAGCTACATTTCTTGTTATATAGGTCTTGCTTTATCTTGGTCTTAACCATCCAGCAGGAAAGTATAAAAATGAAGTATAAGAAGTAAAGCCATATTAATATGCTGAGCTGTAGAAGACTCAAGTCAACAACTTCTGACATTGCCAGTCTTACAGAAAACCCACTACTATTATGGACTACTGGACAATATTGGGATATTTTGCTAAGTTCATGCACCGATAATATTTAAATGACAAGGGAATACCCATCTTTGACAAAACTAAACAAAAAAGGGGATAAAAATGAATGACCATTTTGTATCTGTATATTTAAAATAGGATAGATATAGATACATTCTCTTAATTCAATGAACAGAAAGTTGTTCTAATAGTGTTTGTAAACAGGATATCATGCCTGCATCTTATACGGTGAATAACCCCTAAGAGAACAATATGCAATGTATTAATTATTGAAACTGTGCTACTAATTGGAAAAAAAAAAGAAAAAAAGAAATGCTTCTCTAGCAGGTCTTGGCTATGTGGGTAGCATGAGTAGACCAAATGACAAAGAAGAGGCATTGTCCAGTGGCCCTGGTAAGAACCATAGTTCAGTCAACAGTCTCTCAGTACCACTACTGGCTGAGGCCAGAGGACACAGGCAGCGCAGGTCAGGGATGGGACTGCAGCTATCAGTTTTTTTGGGGGGCTCTGGAACCCATATTGTTTTGATGGGATTTCATTTGGCTGACTTCCAGCACACAGGGAACTGCATGGGCTGTAGGAGGGGAGGCAAGCAGCTGACACAGGCGCGGTGTGGATGCTTTAGTAAACCACTGTAGTCTGGTCTATAAGGGCAGGGGGTAAACCAAGCATGTTTGCAGCCTTACTGCTCTGATCTTCCCTCTTGGATAGAAAACAAGAAGGAGGTCTGCTTTTAGGAAAGGGCAAGTGCTGGACAGAGACCAAGCAACTGAAAGAAGCATAACAGCAAAGAACCTGGAGCCAGTTTTGCTGAAGATGCTCATGAAATAGTCAAGGACAAGGTTGGGAGACTTGAGGACAGCTCATCTCTGACTTCTCATCCTCAGACAATGTTCTTGCTTTCTGTTTTAGATTGACAAAAAGGTCTTGGGGCTCTGTCCTGGCAGGGAGCAAGAACAACGCTCTGGGCATGGAATCACTTGGAGAAATGTTTTGACTTTCAGCTGTTCATCTCCTTTTGCCCAGTTTTCCAAGATGGATCATCCCTGTATACCAGTTCTATTCTTTCCCTCTTCCCCTGCCTCCTCCAACCAGAGCCCGATCTTCTGAGGGAGGCTGCAAAGTTCCCTCTGGAGTCAGGCAAACTGCCATAGCCAGCAGCTTCTAATTCACTAAACTGGAGCTTACCAAGAAGAGACTCAAGCCAGTTTTCCCAGGATCCTCCTAAGGATATTACCCAAGGCTGATATGACCTAGAGCTTCACAGGGCTAGGGAAAAAACAAACAAATGCTAAGGCAGTATTTTGACCTTCAAGAGCAACTTGTGTGATGGTGAAGTGGCTTGGTGCTTGCTCTGTGGGCTTTTTGTATTGGCTGTTTTCCCATCCTTTGATTCAAGGGGCTGATGGGGTGGGGGCAGAGAATGGGTTTGGCCCTGGAATTCAGTGGTTGCTGATCCAGGGGTCTACATTCACTTTTTGGGGGAAGAATAGGAGCCATTAAATTAAAAATAAGAAAGGCTTCTATTTCTCCAAAACAATATCCCTTGCCCAGTTCTGCCTGTTTTCCCCTGTATCTCTCTGGGGCCCTGTAAGGATCCCTTTTGTCCCCCACCCCCTCTAGTAACAGGATAAAATTAGGCCCTTCATCTCTACTTGCATTAACTACTAGGTTGCCTATAGGATCTTCCAACAGTTCAAGAGTTTTACATAGAAGAGATTTGACATTTATGTGCTCATAAGGCAAAGCTGGGTTCAGTGAAAAAGGAGGCAAATTTCTAATAAATAAAAGGAAGAATTTTCTAGCAAAGAAGGAATAGTGGGAAGTCCATGTGCTCCAGAACTAGACAAACTTGGGTTCAAATCCTGCCTTTGCTCATCACAGATGCCTGATCTTGGGAAAATTGCTTTTCCTCTCTGTACCTTGGTTTCTGCTCATAAAATAGGAGAATACTTCTTCAACAGGGCTATTTTGGGATTGGAGCTTGCATTTTATAGCATCTAGCATAAGGCAAACTACAAGGTAACCGGCAGTGGGCATACTGAAGGATGGTGCTGGTGTCAGGATGGGCCCCAACATATATGTACTCCGAGAGTCTAGAATTATAGACAATATGGGGCAGATTATAAGTAGTAAGTGAAATTAGCTTCACAGAGAACAGTTCCTAGATGATCCTGCTCTGGTGGAACCACTGAGAATATGGCCCTGAAGGTAACTAGGGAAGAGGCTTGGCTGCTGCCCTGCTCTTTCATTTTGCAGGGACAGGACTTCACCCTGTCTCTCTCATGCGTTTACTGACTCCCTGACCATCTATTTACCTCCCCAAGATGCTCTGCTCCTGAGAGAGTGGTGATAACTCTGGGAGGCAGGTGTGTGCTCACCTCCCAGCTTGTCCCCATCATCGATTCGGTCTCAAATCAAACAGTCTCTGGATTTAGCCTATTTAATTTGGCTGAAGGAAAGGGGCTAGCCCTGCGATGATCAAATATGGGTCACAGGGAGGCTTCTCTCTACCATACGCCACACAATTATTTATTTAAAAATAATTAACCCAGGATATCCGCAGGAAACAAAAAGCCTTTTTTTTTTTTTTTTTGCAGGAAGCACAGCAGGAGAGAGTCGGGAACCATTTGTTAGAATCCAGGCAGTGCAACTCAAGCCTTCTGGGGTTTACACACTTTGTTCCCCAATATGATCTTCATTATGTGAGAGATACCGTGGGGGAGCTGCTATGCTCCAGGCAGATGAGCCTTTGACCTTTCCTTCAAAAACCTTGGGCTAAGGGCCAGAGTTCTGGCTGGGAATTAGGTGATCCCTGTTTGGACCACAGCTTTGCCATCCATCTACCGGGTGACCTCAGCTTCCTTATCTATAACCCAGAGGACGCCTACTGCAGGGAGAGGCTGTTGTCACTGCACTGTAGTGTGAGCTAGGCAGAGACTCTGCACCTGCTCAGGACTCACTGCACCTTTTCCTACTGACGCTTCTCTCACAGGGATGGCTGGGCCGTGGGAGGGCTTCTATAACTAGCTAATGTGCAGGTGGGTTCTTGTTAGAGGACAGAGAAGCCAAATCCTGGTCTATTTCACATATTCAGAGAAGCACTTAAAATGAGAATGGGCAGGCTCTGGAGCCTAGAGTGAAAGCCTGACCTTCCATGTAATAGCTATCTGACCTTGGGAAGGTTATTTTACCTCTCTGAACTTGACTTCCCTAACCGTTAACAATATCCATCCCAAATCGCTGGGAGAAAAAAAAAAAAAAAGAGTGAATTAGCAGATGTGAAATTGTTGCTCAAAATATAACAGTTTCTGCCACTTTCAGACTGCCTTTGTCCGAAAGACGTTGTTACAGAGACTGAGATCACAAAACTTTACCGAGCCCCTAGCACAGAGGCACGGGGGCACCTGCGGTAAGAAGCAGAATGGCATCCTCCCTTCTTCCTTCATACTGAAGGTTAGGAAATGAAGACATGATAAGGATTTGGGGGGAACTCTTACTTGCCAGAAACGCCAGGTTAGTAGCACAGAGGATCACAGGAGAAATGACAATGACAGATAATAGCAATATACCCTAGCCCCACTTCCTGGCTCAACCCACAAATTGGCCATGTCCCCATTACAAATACAGCCAAGTGTGTCCAGGAACAGGAGCCATCCCAGGTGGAGTCTAGAGAGCTCTGGAACTTTCCCCTAATCCCAGGCCTCAGTTGCATGGGTGTGGGGTCACTGCTGAATTCCCAACAGCATATGGATCAGACACAGATCGTCTGGTTTCCATCCAGAAATGCTGGCCAGGAGTTTCAAAACTACAGATGAAGCATATGCTCCAAGAAGCCAGTATTCCCAGTCCTGCCTTCCTCAGCCAGCACCTGTCTTCAGGGTACTTCATGCTGCGGCAGCTTGGGATTTCTTTTGAAACAAAAGCATACCCTGTCCCTACTCAGCTTGAAAACTTCTGATGGCTCCTTACTACTTTCTAGAAAAGTCCCAACACTTAAGACTGGCAGAATCAGACTTTGGGTCTTCGTTGCCTTGTTTGCATCATCTCTAACCGCACCCCCTGCAGCCACAGGAGAGAGCTCAGATGGTCCCGCCACACCCTGCTTTTGTGCCTTGCTTTTTCTGTTCCTCTGGCTGGAAAATTTTCCTTTCTTTTAGCCTTCACCCCTTGTGAAGGTTAAATGTCATTTCTGGGAAGCTCTTCTTGACCCGTCCTGGTAATGAGCTGCTCTGTCCCTTGCCTCTCGTATGAGCTAGAGACCCAGCAGCAGCAATTGGTCACCCTGTACTCTCAAGTTGGCTTCTGTCACCCTTTCAAAGAAGTGACAGCTTTTACTCATCGCTGTAGCCTCAGCTCTGCAGAGCACCTG